CAGCCTACAATAGCGACGATAGGGACAGCGTTCCTTATCAGTCCTATCGTAACTACTCCTTTCGTCACCTATCAGTAGTGTTTTCGTCCCACATACTCCTTTCTAATTAGACTGTGACGTCGTACGTGTTGCTGCCACGTTGCCACGTGCACTTTGTTGACGAACCTCCCCTTTCATATCCTTATATCGGATATTGTCAGCTGCGATAAATGGTCTGTCACTCATCGAAGGTCTTCTCGACCCATCACCTATTGCACCTGTTAGAACATTCTTCCTTAGTGCTGGCTTCACACACAATTTCAAGTTCGCAACCCTCAGCTTCCATAGCTTTCATCGTATCTTTTTAGCTGCGGACAAAGTTCTGTCATTCACCGATGTTATTCTCGTCCCGTATATAATTATACATCTCCTTTGAGGACTAACTTCCTGATACTGCTGCCCACGCGTGGTTTTAATCTGGCGAACCCTCGCTTATATAGCTTCTTATTAATCAGATCTAATCAGCGTGATAATGTTCTTTCCACCCACCAATGGTGTTCCCGACCCATCACCTATTTCAGTTCTTAACTGGCTTCCTACCGTGATATGACCCGCACTACACCCTTTTCAGAGACGACAAAGCACTTGCGTACATACATACATACATACATACATACATACATACATACAGACCGACAAACAGACAGACAACTTACTGCTTTTAGAAGAAGGGCAGAGTAATAGAGGAATGGAATGAGGAGTCAATAATGGAGCAGTGATCCTTCTTTGCGTGGCAATGCACAAGAGCTACATAGCGAAGGTATTAGACATAAGAAATGTAGCGGAGATAACCTTTCAATATTCCTATCAATTGATACAAATACTTGCCTCTGTCGTCAAAGTCTGCCCTCCTGAGCCGGTCACGAATTCGCATTGTGAAAGCCCTGCAGCCTCGAATAGCGACGATGAGGACAACGCTCCTCATCACTCCCTATCAGTGTAATCTCTTTCCGTTACGTACCAGTGGTGTTCTCGTCCACAACTACCATCTTCTTTTGGAACTGACTTCCTAGTGCTGCTGCCACGTGTGATTTTACTTTGCCGCTTTCGCCTTCCATAGACTCTTTTCGGATATTAAACAGCTGTGATAATGTGTCGTTCAATCCCCAATGGTGTTCCCGAACCACCTATCGTTCTTGAAACTCTTTCGTTTGATGCGACCCGCGCAATAGATTACCCTTCCAAAGACAATGAAGCATTTGCGGACTGAAAAACAAACAAACATCACAACACGTGCATATAGTAGGGCTTTAAAAAGCGATCGGTCAAACGCTTTTTTGCACATACGTCTAAAATTTGACATTACATCAGCCATTGTCACCCAACGGAATGCAGCTATTTGCTCTATGAACAAGGACACAATCTGCAATATTTTCCGCCTAAAGACGATCTTGTGGGCACAAGGTCATCGTTCTGTTCATTTTTTGGATTTTGTTTGTTCCACGGACATACTTCGAGGCGCCGAAACACCCTTTCTCTTTGCAGTGACACTGTCGTGGTCACGACGTTAAAATTGATAGTCAACGTTTTGAAGGACCGCTGAAGCGTACTCGACATCTACTCTCAGGATAAGAGCATCCATCACCGCTTGCACGTTGATTCCGAGTCAATTTGCGTTGACTTCGTAGCCATTTCAAGCACTAATGTTTTAGGGTTGAATGGTAGGTGTGCAAGTGAGAACCTGCTGTTTGGCAAAGAAAATCAAAGTATCAAAGCAGAGGCTGCTCTCCTCGCACACTTACCATTCTACTCGCGGAGCATGGAAGAATTAGCGTGTTTCACGGCCCTGTATCTCCATTCCTGGGCATGTTCGGGCGGGGGGACCACGACACATCGACATCTGGGGGGCTGATTGTCTCATACACCCTCAATGTGTATGAGCGTACTATGTGTCTTTAACTCAAACGCTGTCAGTGTTCTTTGGACAATCCATTTATCAAAATTTGTCTCAATAATGCTACTGAAATTGCAGCGACCTTGACGTCGAAGTCGACGCAAGTGGACCCGGAGTCAACCTGCAAGCGATAGTGGATGCTTTCATCCTAGCGAATAGATGTCGAATACGATCCAACGGTCTTCCGAACCTTGACTACAGCCTTAGCGTTGTGATCACGATAGCACTGTGGGCCTAGGAACTTTCAAAATACTTAGAAAAGGCACGCCTGTATGCCTACATTTTTCATCCTGACAGCTTCTTTCGGCAATTTTCATGGTGTCAACTTTTCGCGGTGCCCGAGGTTCCTGTATTCTTATGAGTCACAACGAGGAGCAGGAGGCAGTTTTAGCTACTCAACATATTGTCGTGGAACTCCACAAAACTCGAAAAATGTGAGCAGTATAGCCGCCTTGTGGACACTGAAGTAAGCTGTTACGTTAAGAATTGCATCTCTGCATCATATTTGAAGGCAGGTACTGCTAGTCATTGAATACAATGGTGGGGATAACATACTAAAATTCTAAATGAATGGCTCGGGTGAAAAAGATTATGTGCGAAGAACCGTTCGGCCGAACACTTCTGAGCGCTACTGTACATACTCTCCTTATCCCTGAGATAGAGTAGGCGTGGATTGGAATATGGCATATGGTTACTCGTAACATATTCCAGTCTCGGACAACTGTCACCTTGTTCTGTGTTGAACAGAGACGCAACCTTTCAGAAAGCATCTTTTCGTCGAAGCCATTAGGATATGCTTCATTAGGCGTCAATTGACATCTCCTCTGTATTGTGCCATGCTACCGGCTCCCACGCAGAGATGTTGGGAAGGTGTAAATTCAAACGAGGCTTCTCCTTGTCAGCAGATGTGCTTCTACGGGCCAGAAAGGACCGAGCATGTACTGCGTTTGATTTGTTTATTAGCTATGTCTTCATTGTGGGCGGCTATCGTACTTCTTATCGTCGCACATTTCTCACCTACGAATTTGCAGCTTGCCTCTGCTTCAGCTGTCGTTAGCTGTTCCCGACAACCATGGATAAATCTTTAATCATCAAGAACTGCACGAATCTAAATATCGCTGCTCTCTCCCTCTTCTGACAATCCCTGCCTTTGGACTGAATTGTCCCTTATCACCACCTTCACTGCATTCTTGAGGAAAAATTTTTTTGAATTCAGCGTCTACTGGAGAAGTTGGTCTAATTCTTCTCTTAATAGCCGATGCCATAGCTACAAGAGTGGAACAGAGAAGCTGTGCGAATAGAGAGCACTTCTTCTAGTTAATCAATTGTAGGTGTCTTTGAGAGACAGATAATTCGGCCTGAAATCCCGGTCAAAGTGCTGTGAGACAATTTTTTCCAACCTTACTTTTTCGCATGGTCTCCAACCTTGACCAGTTATTCCACAGTTTTCCCCAGGATTTTGGAAATTTTCTCGTGAAAAGAAAATTTGCTGTCGGCGGACTGAACTTGTCTCCACCGCTATCCAACGAGCAGTTTTCTCGTGAAATTTAGCTTGTCGGAATGCCAGTCGGACCGCCCGGTAACTGGCTTGGCTTCGCCAGGCGCACTTCAGGAAACGTAATTTGCTCACTCATTTAGCTGCCCATGCTGCGCTGTATTGATTGAATCGTAATAGATTGAGCAACCCATGCACGAGCTCACGTCCAGCTGCCGCGCGAGCAGCTTGCTGCGTGCTCCTACTCAAGCGTGCGCTACGCACCCCCACCGTACCCGATCCACTTCCGCCGGTCTTCCTCACCTGCATGTTCTCAGTTTCGGCAGAGCACGTACAGTGCTGGGAAGCAGATACAGAGATTACATGCTATTCAATCCCCTTCCACCCCACCCAGCCCCCAGACGACCTCACGCCCAACTGCCACGCAGTTTGTACAACGGCTTAGAGTGTACTAAATGGTTAAAGTTGAGGGTATTATCACGATGAAATCGACATCGTAGGTTGTTACTTTATTATGGATTGGCTTGCATTTTTGCTCGCGGTTATATCCTCTTCTCTTGCTGTGTGCACTTAAGCGGGCGCTGTACATTCCCCTTCCTCCGCCTACCGCCCCCCCCCCTTTCACCCACAATCTTCCCCCTGCCTCGTCCCTGCACGTGCTCAAGTCTCACTGAGCACGTGCAGGGGAAGGAAGTAGAGGGAGCAGAGGGAGGGGCCACTTGAGTTTCTGGTTTATCTAGCGGCCGTATTCTCCTGACACTAACGTGTTCGAACCCGAGAAGCATTTTGCGGACGGACAGACATACAAACAAACATACGTACTGAAAAACCAACACACAAAGTTGCTGCTTTATAGAATAGAAGTACTATGGTGAAGTTAGAAATGTTGCAAAGAAGCGCTGCGCGGAGTCTCTAGGAATGAAACTGATATCATTCCGCAGATTATCCTACTGCTCGTATTGACGTCTGTGTAGAGTAGTTCGCTGCGGACGGTTGGGCGTGTCAGTGCGCCTGTTTGGCACGGTGCCAAACTCGTTCTCCACTAGCTGAAGCGGGCAAGTGACAATACTGTATCACAACCTTCGTATTACTCCTTTTCTACGTTTTGTCGCATGCGCGTTGCAACAAGAAAGCAGAGAGCGGCTTTGAAGGGGGTGACACACTCATACTGGCACACGCCCAACCGTCCGCAACGAACTAGGGTGTAATTCTGATAAGTCTCCGTGAATGCCACCCTCCCACCCGCGCCCATTACACCCCTACCCCTGAATAGCGTCTTCAGTGCTGAACAGTGTGGAGATGAGATACGACTTTGGATGCATAGAAGTAATGATAGCTTTAGAGTATTTTTCTCAAAGTACTGAAGTGTGTATCCAGGAGACATCCAGGAGACCTCAGCAAGAATTAGAGGATCGTGAAACTCGTCGTCGTAAAGGAGGTTCTGCTGTACGGCGTGACGATGTTATACGGCACATCTTCTCATTTTTAGCGCTTCTAATTGCACATCTTGCATATTTTCGACCCCAACCAAATGAATAATATGGTAATGAAAAAGGTGAAGTTAATGAGGAATCATACGTGTGACCAATCCAGTTTCTCATCAACCTGTCCCGTGTTGTCAAGGATGAACGCCACCGACTTTGATGGAGCAGGAATGAAAGCTGTTCCCTGCAAAATACTTGAGATAGTTCAAGAAGTTGAGCCATTAAAACGGCTTGGTTTGTACTGCATTCAAGTGATTGGAATTTAAAACTCCTTCCGACGAATTTTCTCTTTTCATAGAAGCCAACTACCCGCACACCCCCTTCCTACACTCGCTTCATCCACCTTACTCATTATCGCTTTGACCTTCTTTAAATATCATGTAACTGCTCCTCTTTAAAAGTATGACCAGTAAATGTACTGGATCATCAGATCCTTTTACGCGTGTAGAAGGATGTGATGATGCAAAAAAACATGTTTAAAAGCAAAAAATAGTAGATGCGTGATGTACTATTAAAATGAAGTTAAGCATCTACGTGCAGCCTTACACGTTTACATTTGAAGGTGGGCAGATTATTCTGATCGGCTTTCCGCGGGAAACACACAGATTCTAGGGATTTCGTCACTTCATTGATGCTATCGGATGATCTGCGCTAAAAGAAAGGCCTGACAAATCAGACAGATTCAAAGGTGTTATTAACAACTCATAAACATACACGACTCTGGCTAGGTAGCGTCATTGGGAAAACCATTCTGTTGAAACCGACGAGTGACTCAGCAAAATAATCATCTTCAAGAGGATTTCGCTTCGATTCGAATTGTAGGAACATTAAATGCACGCCGAGTCCTTGCAACTGAAACACACTTTCATCAAAGGCAGTTGGCACAAGAAATCCCTAAGGCGAGTAGGATTAATACGCCTAGCAGGACGGAATTCCGCGACCCTGAGCAGGCGCTGCGTAGCGTCTTTTCCAACAAATGCACCCTTATAAGGCCCTGTCGAGCTACAACATACCGACCCACGCCCACCGCGCCCGCCCACTTACAAATGGACGACCATTTCTCATACTCGTACTGCTTTATTTATGAAATAAAGTATGAAACGAGGATTGGTATGAAGCGGATGCGGTGCTGCATGGATATATGAGCACGAGCAGTTGTACCTACCATACGGTCATTGGCAAGATGGCTACGGAAAACTCGTCAAAATTGCTCTCTGAGTCAGTGAGAACGAAGGCTTTTCTTCGCAAGTTTTTGACCGTTTCACTTCGTTTTTTTGCCGTTTTCCCCAATATATAGGACCCTGCTAGCATTTCAGGAAAAGTGCCACATATCGTGCCGAGTGCCTTGTGAAATACCACTGTCACAAAATGTTTTGATAAGAGAGGCAATGGGTTCCAATGCTCTGGGAAAGCGCCATCATGAGTTACAAAGTGTAGATTAAGGAATCTCACTAAAGTTATTGCAATGATGAACATGTCGTGATTGCGTGGCCCTCCTGTTCTAATTCCTCTTATCACTATTCATCAGTTCCTTTCATTACCTATCACCCAGCAATACTGTTCGATGCAGTGAGAAGCGTGCGCAGCGATCGCGCCGAACGCGCACCGAGGCGCTGCCGTCACGAAATCTGAACGCTGCCCCAAGGTTATGTTGAAACATGCGGCCACGCCTACCGTATTTTGAGTATATCTGGTGGCGGACTTATCTACCGCGCTTTAGAGTAAGCTGGCCGCACAACAAAGTCAACTGCATTGAGTGAAAGAGTTTCTGTGAGTCCCTAGGACAAGTTATGTGTCACACAAACTCACAAGACTTTGCGAAGCACTGGCGCAAGCGTGGAAACCCTACCCGAAACCCTACCGGATTAAGTGCATCGTCAATCATAAGCATCACTTGTCGATGTTGTCAATTGTGAAAAACAGAATATAGAAGAAATAATCTGACTTCTCTAGCAACGTCCATTTCTTTCTCTTTTTTCGTCCTCTTTAATCCCTTATACTTTGTCGCGACGCATTTGGAAAGGCGAGTTGCCTTAGAACCCATTACAATTATAACGACTTTCCATTTGGTTGGCTCTGCCTGAAAAAAAACAATACCACCAACTTGACCGACGCGCACCCACATGACGAAGATCTTGTGCAACATGGTTAGTACTAGGTAAAATTTTTGTATACCCCCATGACTGCTGCAAACACTTGGCTTGAATTCTGTTCTGAATTGACTTTTCTTTCCATATATCCCCTTTTCTATTGTCCATTTTCAAAGTCTACACTTCCAAAAACACAACATCAATCCAACACAAGATAAGGACAAAAACACAGCAGGAACAAATTCTGTCCGAAGACCTTTCTGCTGAAGAGTATTTAAAGGCAGTTGGAACGATTGAATTTCCACCCTTCAAAAAAGAGAAAAGGTGCCCACTAATGCAAAAATAGTGAAAAAAATGGGGCGTGATAGAGAAACCACGGAAAGGGGCTTTCTTCGCTGCACTGCTACGTTACAATACATTACAAGTAGGCACGGACGGCAATCCATGGCACGTAGGCACGGGCGGTCCACAAAGGCACGTCTCATGCTGTGGTGCTATACGTCTTATGGTAGGCGGGCGGGCGAGGTGGGCGTTCGGATCGGTATGATGCTACTCGATAGGGGCGCTATAAGGGTACCCTCCTAGAAAAGGAGCTAAGAAGTGCCTATTTAGGGCCAATTCTGTCAGCCAGCCGTATCAATCCTGCCCGTCTTTAAGGATTTATCGTGCCAACTGCCTTTAAACGCAACCCTTCCATGTTGCAGGAGTCTGATGACTCTTCTGTATTACGAACGACATATGCGATCTTTTCTAGGCTTCGTTTCTATAAGTACTAGTATTTATAGAGAGAGTATATGGACAGTTGGTGTTCACCCCGACCAAACATTCAATTTGGAAATGAGGCTCACGATAACAGAAAAACTGGACTTGTACAGAAACTGTACTGATCTTTGTCGCTGACATTCTAACACCTGGTGCGACCACCATTTTTCAGCTCTTTTGCAGCTAACCTTTCCACTATTTCCTCTCTGATATATGTATCGGTTACGGTTAATGGCTTTGTTTTGAACGAGAGTATTTGCTTACTGACACATTTATCATAATGTATTTTTGAGCACACTTACATAAATGTACTCTCTGGCAAGGTCGAGAGCGGAGTAAAGGTCAGCTGAGCCCTTGAGGTAAGCCATACTCTCCATGCTGCTCCTGAAAAAGGACCCTTATAAAGTCAGAATGCTAGACATTCCCCAGTAAGGCATGTGAAATGCCACCCAGCACCAGAAAAAAAATGAGTGACTGGGCAGCAATACTCGTCCTTTTCTAAGTTTCCTCTAGAGTTTGGCTCTCCTCGAAGAATCAAAAGATAGCTTTGCGGTTTTCTCGTTTTGTGAAAGCTTATTTTTTTATTGATAAATTTTCTTTCAAAGTCATCGTCTCGAGGAGAAGATTCTAAGCAGCGAAATAGCACATTTTCAGCTCTCCCACTCGAAAAGCGATCAAGAAACCATTGAATTTGTTCAAGACATTTCTTTTGCATGAGGTTCTGCAGAGTGGACGGAACTTATGTGAAGTTCGGAAAATGTCCTGCTACTTCACTTTCTTCACCGTACTTCAATCAAATTGCTCCAAAAAATCGAAAACGTTTTGATTGCCTCTTAGTGGATAGTGTTCTTCCACATGGGATTATTACGGCGACGTGAGGACTTTCAAACCTCCTAAAGGCCAGAGTAATTTTTGAACTAACTCATCATAGGAGTTCCTGTAGCGCCTTCTTGTCGTGGTAGAGGGAGCTAACACCAGCGTTGTCTTCAAAAAGAAAGTCATTTGTCATGCTACTGTGTCATGTCCCGATAAGCGCTTACAAGTACATAGTAGTTACTTTGTTCGACTTGGACAACATGTGGGTTGGCCACTTGCACAGAATGACGGCCATTCACTCAACCCGCTAGAGGTGCAGTAGACCGTAACCACCAACGAGTGAGCGAAATTTTTTGGATTCACCTAGGTGACAACTACTATGCTTCTCCACGATCCCGCTTATGGTTAGCTGGAAAATTCCCTATAAATATGCCACATGAGTTGCATAAAATGAATAATGCACTGAATGGTCGTGCATTATTTGGGAAGACCATTTCTGAGACATCGTGATGGGTAACTGGGCTCATTGCGCAAACCAATCATTGCTTATTTCCTTCACAGAATCTCTCAAAGAAAAAGTCGCCTACTTACAAGGATACCAACTCGTCGCAGTCGCTCAGGATGAGATGTGTGCAATAGAGACTTCTTTGAAATCAGATCTGACTTCCAAATCTGCTAAACGATTTCAGCAGAGAAGGTATGAACATTTTTTATCGGCTGCGCTTGGCCACTGCGGTGCGCCCCCTATCCATCATAGTATGCGCTTGTGAAGCTTTCATGACACGACTGCTCCAGTGGTTCGGTGGCGCAGCAGGTAGAAAAGAGGGCTTGCAACAGTGGAACAAAGTTTCGGGTCCTCGGCGCACTTTGTAACTATGCTTTCTCTTGAAACGTATGCTTAACACTCGAAAAGTAGTTTTCTACAACAGTTCGACCATCAGGGCCTCTCTCTAATCTTTATTGAGCCCTTTGAATTACTTGGAGAAGGCCTGCACTCTCACCCGATTCGTTCCAGCGGGGCCAAATAGAACTTTTGATATGCTCTGAACACTTGGACCGTATCGCGGGAAGTTTCGCGATTCTTTTTCTTCGGATTCATACATCACAAAAGGTTTGTGGATCATGCATTTGCAGTTTGCCTTTTTTGTTCTGTACGATCTACAAGAGAAAACATTTGATCAACAGGCTCTGCTGACGGACGGTTATTGTTCCATCTTAAAGGCGGAGCCCGCGTTTATTTGTTGTTCCCACGCCCTCTTTGGATATCGCAGCTCACAACATGAGGATGGCGGACGTACTAGTTTCGCAACTCAAAAATGTGAGAGAATAGCGGCGATCGCTTGTGAAGAGTCTGCAAGCGCCCACCTGTCGCCCACCACGCCCAACTTCATTTCTAGTGGTTGCCTGATGGTGCGGTTGTTCCGCTAATAACTCCCTCCCCTTCGAATGGTGAGAATGAGGTGATAAGGGAAAACAGCTGATATCAACAAGTGAGAACTCGAGCGGCCGTGCCTTCTCTTCGCCTTGAGCAGTACAACCTCAGCTCGACGTGGGATCCTATATAGGGCATATCTGATGACTTTTTCATTTTTCTTCACTAATGAACTGCTTGCTACCTCGTTGTCACTGTCTGAGCACCATAACTCATCAAACTGAACGCGCGCGCTGCCTTTAAGCTCTGAAGCCACGCCAGCGACGCTGTATAAAGTTAAACGTACGACTCATTCGCAACTCCTTCCCACTATTCTCCGGACATTTCTTTCCTGGGTTTATGATTATGTGACTCGTTTCTTATTGATCGATAACCTCTTGAGGACGACTGATGTTACTTGTCGTTATGGCTTGTTGGTTTAATCACCCTAGTTTGAGGCTCTACGGGGGGGGGGGAAATGTCACTTTGCCTCGTTGGCTTTCGAGGCGCCATATGTTACACTTTATCGAATTCTGATCGGACATTTTCACTACCATCTTGAAGAGCATATTAAGTACTATCAGACACTCCGCCACAGCCTTCTGGACGAATGCCATCGAGAGATTCCGGCACGCGACCGCGATGTGGTACCTGAGATCAGTGGGGTAGTCGATTTCTCCGCCACCCTCTTGAAGTCCGCCCGAACTAGGTAATTGAGTGGGTTCAGGTCAGGGGACATCTTCAATATTACATCTTCTTCAGGTCGAAACGCCTTCCATTCAAAGTAGGCGGAAGTTTTTTCCAAAACCCTTAATTCCATGTGGGTGCACCAAACCTGTAGGAGCACAAGGTCTCCAAGAAGGTACGGGCGACTACATGTAGGGAGATATTCTACTTGAGTTACTTGATGTAACGCCCAGCGCTCACCTTCAGTCGGGGTCTACACAGAAATATCGGTCTTCCCCTTCCAGGTACCCCGATCCATACCATCAACTCGCGCCTCAGCGAATACGGGCGAATATATGTCCGAATATAAATAGCGAATATATTCCTAGACCGTAGCGACGTTGCCGTAGCTGCTCGATGTGGAAGGTCTTGCAGATCAAGAGTACTGACTTCCTTGACTGATCTTCCACCCTGGTATTCATATCCACTTCCCCTGTGTGGGCTGCGAAAACTTCGTTGATATGTATCTCGGCCGAAATGACTTTTTTTGCCCCCCCCCCCTGTATATTCGGTCGATTTGACAGTATACTTGGCGTGGTGCTGTGGGGTAACATCTGCTAGACAAGACCGCGCGAGACAGTAGTTCGTTCTACCCTCCAATTTAGAAGAAAGTTCTCACTATTACTACTGGTGAATGCAACACATTGCAATGGGTCTTGCAATTTTACGTCTAATAATTGAAGAAATGTTCTCCCCGACTTTGCTGCTATCACATCGAGTGAAAAAATATGAACTCTGCGATAATATGTGATGATTATAGCGGAAATAGAGGAGATTGCAAAAGGGAGCTTTTGCCTGTTTTTGCGCCTCACGCTGTACGACAAGCTCATAATTGACCTCGAGGAAGACAGCTTCATCAGATGACCATACTGGTCCCTCCAGGGCATCTAATGATGGGAATGGCGGAAGTTCCTTAAGAACTAAAAGAGGAGTTTCCCAATCGATGAGGATGTGGAGGTTCCGAGAGACGGTTGTGCACAGTTCTCATTTTATCTTATGCACTGGTCCACGGCAGCGTATGCGTGTGGTTTAGGAGAATGAAGCCATAACCTTTAAGCGATCATGTGCAAGGAAAAGCAGAATAATCTCGCTACCAAAAACCACTTGCGCGACTGATAGAACCAGTGAAAAGAAGTGAGAACTCGAGCGACTCACGTTTGGAATTTTTATAAGTTTCTATGTGGCCCTACGCCATTTTTGTTAGGATATCTTATGTGCTTGCTCAATGTTTCGCGCTACTCACACCAATATATGCTACAAATAAAGCAGCCAATCAACGCCATCAATCCAATTGCTTTCACTAAGATCGAAATGGAATTTCTCGGAAAATTCATCCACAGGATGAGGAGCAGAGATGCCGAAAGGTTGAACTGGTGCGTAAAACTACTTTCCAAGTGTTTAGCATGAGTTTCGAGAGAAAGCAAATTTACTAAGTGCATCAAAGATCCGAACCTTCGTTACACTGCTATGAGTTCGCTCACCTATCTTCTGCGCCACCGAAGAACGGAAGCACTTGTGTCACGAACGCCTCTGAAGCGCAAAGTATGGGGGAGGCGCACCGCAATGCTTGAGCACAGTAGGAAAAATGTCAGCCACTTTTCTCCTGAAAATGGCTCAGCATATTTGGAAGTAAGATGTGCAGCGTCCTAGACGCTTCTAGAAGAATACATCTCATCTGATTGGCCATAGGGAGTTGGTGTCCTTCCCTTGTTAGCCAAAAGAGGAAAAGTGGACCTTTGTTCTGGTCACTAATGATGATTACCTTCACATTCAGACTGGAGATGTCACTTAGTGAAGGGAAGTTTGTGTCGAAATCTTGATCAATTTAGCGCAGGACTTTCTTCTAACCTAATAGCAACTAGCTGCAGATGACGTTCCAGATATGTAGGATGAAGCATGAAAACTGAGCGAAATAGGGGTGCCTCAGACTTAGGAAGATATTTGGTTGTCCTAGAATTTTGTGACTCTCTTCTCTCTTATCTCGTCAGATCTTCCCGTGCCCGCTTTGAGATCCAGTCATGTGGTAAGTGTGTTCAGTAAGCATCCTACTGCTTCTTTACCTTCGTTGAAATTTATCATTCTCGACAAACTTCGCCACACCGATCTCCACCAAGCCACAACGTGGTTGGAGCCACAAGCGACGTTTCTCTGTGTTAGGCCCTGATGGTACCTTCCATAGTGCTGCGCTGAGATGGCCCGGTTGCCTTCGCTTATGTGACTTCCATCTGGGAGAAGAACTTTGTCCACGAAAGCCACCTGCCTGGGATTTGGACCTACTGTGTTCTTTGACTAGAACCAATTCTTACCAATCAAATCGCTATCTAGTACTTACACTTGATTGGAATGACAGTGGGCCTCGCTCCCTTTAAAAAAGTATCGATCGAAGTTCATTCAAAATTTTTCTCATGATTTGACCGATACTCTAAAGGGCGCGCATGTGGGTACTGTCTACGACCTCTCCCCGCTCCCGTCATTTGGAATGGTTGAACAGCGTTGTTTGTAGCTCAATATGGAAATGTCTCTAAGAGAATCATTCCCGGAAGCGCGAGTGGCTAGATCCCCAGGAAGGGCAGAATCGGTAGCGCAATCCTACCAATCCGTAGGGCGGTGAGAGTGTGTATGTTGTGAGGTTTCTATCTCACCTCCTCAGGGAGAATACCTTCTGCTCAGCGCTGCGAGCAAACCTGTGTATTCAGCTGCAGGGAGGATAAGAATCCTTACCATTTAGTCCCGCAACCGAGCGATGTTTGCCTACTCTACCACATCTCAGGGTCACACGCCTCTCCGAGTCCTATGCGAAGGATGTTAACCGAGTAGTTAAGAGGTCTGGGATGCCGATCCGCCTGATATCCCGACAACCATTAACGCTGCGCCGTCTGCTCACATCCTCTCGAGTGTATGAACATCTCTGTGGGCGTGCAAATTGTTCATACTGCCAAGAGGAACGGAAGATATGCCTTTTGAAAAACACCGTCTACGAAGTAGAGTGTGCCTCTTGCTCAGGATTCTACATAGGAGAAAGCGGACGCCGACCTCCTATCAACAACAGGGAAGAACTGCGAGCAAGTATGGAGTTTATCACGGCACTATAGGAGGTGACTGAATGATGAATATGACATATGGTGACTTGGAGGGTATCAAACGACATCATCCTTGCCCTTCCCACCACTGATCTAGCTGCTTCATTTCTGCGAGAGTGAGAGCTAGAATAGGTGAAGTCCCTCCCATATGCCTTACGCCTCCCCTTCCGAGTCCATCTTACAGCATTTGCAATGATCAAAGTGGTTCCGGGAAGAACCCGTCCGCCTGGACCATAACACCACCTTGCCTGTAATCGGTCAGTTGGTCAAAGGCTTTGTATTTCCATTAGTGTCGTCACTTTAGCTAGAACTGATGTTTAAGTATGAGTTTGATAGATTTATTGTGTCTGCATATTATAGACCTGAAGAAGGGCTTAAGGCCCGAAACGTCGTCAAATGAATATTTCGAAGAGTTTCATCTAAAAAGAAGACACCAAGAAGTGACTACCCAATAAAACTCAGGAACCCTATGATACTATCCGATTCGAAACTCCTTCAACGACAATTCCAACTATGTAATAGAACATTCCTTATAATGCTGGATTATGTGGCGCATCATCAGCTAGCGCTTACCCTGCATGAGTCCCTCGTTTTTCTAACGAAATGCAGACAGTGTAGGCTCATCCCTACATTCATCCGGAATATGGTTCAGCGTTTTTCTTACCGTCAGGATGCAGTACGAAGAAGTGTTAAGCAACTCCAGGGACTGCCTATCGGATGCAACGATTGCGGAACAATAGCGTGAAAGGAGCATCTGTATTTGAACGATTGTGCATCTCAAGGCGGCCTTACGTCAGAGAGTGAGTGGGGAGTGTTGGACCCAGCTAATGTTGCATCAAGAGAAAAATGTGACAGCCTACGCACTGAGACACGATATCGCCGGGAGAACAAACTCACGAATCTCCGAAATCTAACAGCACGACCAGGTTTTATCATCAGAGGTTCCATACCCCCTAAGAGATGTGTTGTTCTAGATGGCGATCGGATTGATGAAGACAGCCTCCTAAACCTTGGCCCCAGTCTCGCACCAAAACCAAGGTTCACAGAGGAAGCAAGAATTGATGTAATGGCTGCAATATCTAAGTTCGGCTATGCACACATCTGGAAGGAACAAACAGGAGCTACGGTTCCTAAACTTCAGGAAAGCTTAAGGAAAGCCGTGCCATTCCTGCGCACCCGAGTTTGCGCTCCAGTATTCGCAACATAAAGGATTGAGAACGCCGGATAACATGACGCGGGCAGAACGATGTGGTTTACGGAAAGCATTATCTTTGAAGAGTTCGTTGATATTCACGGTTGACGACAAGTTTGGAGGATTCGTGGTCATGTTACGGACACGAGGTATAGCTCTTTTTGAAACAGTCCTGTCCGACTGGTCAACATACCGTTTGATTACGATGGACTGCTATAAACGAGAGTGCAGTAAACTTGAGGAGGTGATGGTAAAAATTCTTCGTCCAAAGCTGGAAACGCAAACTCTGGCACGATTCCTTCCCAAATATCCATGTATTCCAACATATTACCGGCTTGTCCAGATGCACAAGCTGCCAGTATTCGAAGGACGTGTCATGAAGGATAACAGCCTTATTGAAACCAGACCGATTGTTTCGTCGTGTGGCGGCCCAACTGATGCAATAAGCTGACTTCTACAACACATTATGTCGACTTCTGAACTATGTACCGGCGCATTTGAAAAATGCTGACCATTTCGTGAGTTGTCTACGAGAAAAACGGTTTCGAACGCTCCAAGAACATCATATCAAAGCTTCGACGTGTCCGCCCTTTACACGAACGTCGACACGAGAGTTGTGATTGAAGCGTGCATCGACCTTTCACGACAGCATTCCAACAGCTGTCAATTGTACGGTTTGTCCATAGGCGAGAGTGAAGAGCTTCTGGTGAATGTTATCAAATTTAACATGTTTCGATTCCAAAACAACATTTACATGCAGACACGAGGATTATTCATGGGCAGCCGCATTGCACCGCTTCTCGCCATCATATTCATGGACCGTTTAGAAAGACGTGCCTTTTCATCGGGGCTGCTATTCTATGGTCGTTACATAGATGACATATTTGTCGTCGGAAAATCCAGAACAGCACTCCGTCGGACATTTAGTTCGGCGCACCCCAACATTGCGCTGACTGACGAGGATCCTGAACAGGACGGTTACTTGCCATTTTTGAACACCAAGGTGAAGCTTGCGGAAAACCAAGTGTTCTCTGTGTGGCATAAAAAGACCGCTTCGAAGAAAATCTTGATTCATTCGAGAAGCTGGCACCCCCGTTCATGAAAAGAAATGCTGTCCGAAACACCTTGACAACAGCTCGGAAGATAACGTCAACCAACGTTCCCGAAGTAACGTTGGTGATAACAAGAACGTTGGTGACCCGGTGGAAAGGAAGATAAAAGAGGCATTGGAAATATGAAGACGACGACCTCTCATCAACAGCAGGAAATTGCGAGCGTATGGAGTTCATCACGGCACTATAGGATGTGACTGAATGATGATTATGACATATGGTGACTTGGAGGGTATCAAACGACATCATCCTTGCCCTTCCCACCACCCATCTAGTTGCTTCATTTCTGCGAGAGTGAGCAGCTAGATAGGTGAGTCCCTCCCATATGCCTTACGCCTCCCCCTTCCGAGTCCATCTTACAGCATCTGCAGTGATCAAAGTGGTTCCCGGGAAGAACCCGTCCGCCTGGACCATAACACCCACTTGCCTGTAATCGGTCAGTTGTTAAAGGCTGTGTATTTCCAATAGTGTCGGTCACTTCAGCTAGAACTGGTGTTTAAGTACGAGTTTGATAGATTTAGTGTGTATGTATATTATAGACCTGGAGAAGGCCCAAAACGTCGTCAAATGAGTATTTCGAAGAGTTTCATTCAAAATGAAGACACCAAGAAGTTACTACCTGAAACTCAGGAACCCTATTATACTAGGACAAGTGTCAAATACACAAAAAAATTGCAAAGTATTGGTCACCACTTAATAATTTTACATTGCTGGTGCCATTAATGCATTTTTTGATATCGGCGCAGTGTGCTGTGAAGGTTTGAAAAGCGTCACCTGAATTGCGAGCCTGAATATCTCTTTATTGGAATGGACATTCTTGGCGGGCATGATATAGCTATAAGTCCCATCCTTGCCCCTTGCAGAGGAGCCGCCACATCAGCCACGACGCCCTTCATCTGGAACGAATTTTTTTGAATCTTTGCCGCACCGAAGGACGGTGCAAGGTGTACATCACCTATCCAGCCTAAGGGTATTAGCAGAATTATAAATTTAGTATATAAGTATATACCAGTCGGATCGCCCGGCTGTCGCCGGGCGCTCCTTCTTCTGTGACATGGCCCAGCTTCGCCGGGCCATGCGGATTTGCCGCGTGCTAAGGAATAAACCCAAACAGAGAACGTAATCCAGCAAGAGGAAAGCCGGCCTTAGCCAGCGATCCGACTGGTACGTTCATTAACCTACACGAAATAGTGGCAGCCTGTATGGACAGCCACTGAAGCAGCCTATAATTTAGTGCAATCTGTCTTCTAAAGCGTCTTGCTTGGGATGCACTACCGCATTCAGCAGTGGAACCCCTTAAATGGCCCTCACTGAAGTTCGTTGATGGAAGATAATTGTGGTAAGAGTGATAAAGTCAGTTGCTGCTGTTCATAACATCTCTGTAAACAAACCACATGCATTTGGAATAGAGCTGGCTTAGCGTCGTACACGATGTCGTATACTCATAAGCAGTGAGGAATGAGTTCTGTTGGAATCACTGAGACCGTTATACTTGAGTCATATCGATCGCATTGATGTTGTGAGCGGTGAAGCGGATTTTCCCATGCTCACTTGTCAATATTACCTCCTATCACTTACGTACCCCGCCAATAACACGCCCGTCCCGTATCACTATCATATCACCGCTGTATCGCCTCTCGGATCAGAGGTCCCACTATTGCTGCAACCTGCGTTACGATTCTGATGACCCTCCCCTCCCCCTTCCGAGGCCGCTTACCCGTATCTTATCAACTGTTATCACTTATCTGTCGCCCGCCAATAATGTTGCCCCTCCCACACCCTATATCACCTCACGGATCTGAGTTTCCGCTGTGCTGTAACCTGCCGCACGAATTTGATGACCCTCCTCTTCCGAAGCCCCTTATGCGGATCTTATCAACTGTTATCAGCTTCTGCCAGCCCCAACCCCTACGGCATATCAGTACTTTGAAATCATGGTCCCGCCGTTGCTTGCAACTTGTCCAGACGAATTCGGTCACCCCTCTCCCTTTTTGGCCCCTTATCGAATCTTATCAAGTGTATCAAATCATTTAACCTGTCACCCACAAAGAGTGTTCCCGTCTGCGATGTATATCACTCCTTGAAATCACGGTCTCACACCTGCCCGCAACTTGCTACGAATTTAGTCACCCTCCTCTCTTCTACGGCCCTTATCCGTATCTTATCAAGTGTTATCATCTCCTGACAGCCACCAAAAAGTGTTCCCGTCCATGATATATCACTTCTTGAACTGTCATCCTATCTTTTCTGCGAAGCTCGCTATGAATTTCGATCACCACAACACACACACACAACACACACACAGACACACACACAGACAGCACATAGCGGATATATATATCCTAACTATATATAATCCGCTAAGTTTGTCTGTTTGTGTTGTGTGTGTGTGTGTGTTTGACCGGAAATTCATAACTTCCTTCAAAGGAGTACAGAGCGCTCAAACTGATAAGTGATGTAGGGGGTCGGGCAGGAACACTATTGGTAGGTGGCAGTAACTGATAAGATCTGATAAGATACCACAGGAGTCTTAGAAGGGGAGGGTCAAAAAATTCATAGCGTCAGCCAGAGTGACGACCGGAAGTTGAATCCAAGTAGCAACATAGGGGCAGGATGGGAACATTATTGGTGGGCTGGCAGGAAGTGATAACCGCTGATAAGATACCATGAAAGAGCCTTAAAAAGAGCGGGTTATCAAACCATAGGACCGGCCAGAGTAACGGCCGGGCGTTGGATCCAAGTGAGAGGATAGCGGGCAGGATGGGAACATTTTTGGTGGGGTGGCGGGGCTGATAAGAGCTGATAAGATAGCACAGGGGTGTCTAGAAGGGAGGGTCATCAAGTTTATAGCACCGGCCAGAGCAACGACGGGACCTTGATCCAGTAGTAAGACAGGGGGCAGGATGGGAACATTAATGGTGGGTGGCAGGCAGTGATAACAGCTGATAAGTACCATGAATAGGCCTCACAAAAGGAAGCTCAAACAACATAATTACGCCACAGCGATGGTAAGGTGTCGTTCCACGATAGGGGCGGATGGGAACCCTATCGGTAGGTGGCAGGTCTTATAACAGCTGATAGGACACAACAGCCTTTAACAACACGAGTCGTAAGCAACACTGGGAACTACCCTCCAGCAAATGATTCAGACGTTTTTAGCGGACATGGTAGGAGACTTTGGTGCATGTAGTGATACTGCTCCTGACAAGGGTTAGAGTTGGCATCTGTCCCCTCCCTACCTGCTTCGATTGAGCTTCACCACTGTGGTCCAGAAATCGATGAGCAAAGGCTTGGTGAGCCGGCTCTTTCTATCCTTGAGCTATACAGACCAAATTGATTCAACCGCTAAACTTTTAAAGATTCTTCCAAAAGTAAAAGCTAAAGATGTTTTCGGTGAGGAGTGATAAAAGGCCACCAGCAGACTGACTGAAAGCTGCTCGAACGGAAACGCTAGGAAATAAGTAGGCTTCAAAGACTTGATAAACCGAACTTTTTTCAACCGCTAAGTTGCTCTATTTCCATCAAATGGTGGGTGTTTGTAGAAACGTGATAAGCATCAGACATTGGCAAATGTTCATTAAAAGGTGAAATATGGTGCAGTAAGCCATACTTTGAGATATGGAATCAAGCCAAGTGTCAGTGGTCAGCACAGAAATCTTATCAGCAATCAGCACCCCGGCCGGACGCGCAGTAGTGTGCGTTAGCCAAACTGGTAGTAGGATGTTCTGGCGGCGGAGTTTGAGTATGTCGCCCCGCTTAGAATGTCTATTTCGCCGCGACTGGAACTGAGGTTCGCCTTCCTTTCAGTTTTTCCTCTCGAAGCTCTTCGTAGCAACGAAAAAGATCAACAGAAAGGGCAATACAGAATACCGCTCAAGTCAGGCGAGTACTCGAAAGTTCGGCGTTCTGTTGTTTGTCGTCTCGACCTGTAACTATCGGCCACCCTCCTCTGCAGCTGAACCTGCAGAGTGCTGCTTGCAGTAACTTTAGCCAGCTTTGAAAATCCGAGTGAGAGCAGCCGCTTCTGAGTCAGCTAGTGCTTCAGCGTCAGTATCCGATCAAGCTTTTAACGATACTTCTCGAAAGAAGAAGGAATTTGCCTGCTCCGTCACGTACCTGCTCAAAAAATTTTTTGTCCGACGTCTGCCGAACTGTCGAAGATGAACAGAACTGTCTTATCTTCCCTTAGGTCGTGAACGGAACCTAAAGAATAATAGGCTCAGCATGAGTTCAAAGAGAGGGAACAAAAGATTACACTTCCGTTTTGATTTGTTTTTGCTTTTGCACTAGTTCAAGTGCTTTCCTGTTGCACTAGTCTAAGTAGTTCGCACGATAATCTGGTACTCTGCATTCTCTCGGCCCTTTTGCTGCTCAAGCTACTATATCAGTTTGCCCTTCCTATCTGCTTTCGAGTGGGGCCACTTTCAAGAAGCCCGCTCAGCCTTTCAAAAATGGTGCAAATTGGCAGTATAGATCTTAGCACACTAGGTACTGCTGATCATCGACGAACTTTGCCTGATTTTCTTGTTCCGAGAGTACGAACGAGACGCCTATGCATTAAGCCGGACTCTATACTGCGATTTGCACCATTTTT